AATATGCGTTTTTGCTGCCTGTTGCAGCGCTCTAGCGCTGCACGGCAAAAACGCATAAAAATTAAGTCGGACCTAAGAGATTAACTTGAAAATCTACCACTCTCATGCGAAGAACAAAATCTTTTGCATTGGTAGTAAGTATCAATTTTACCCTCCGAAAGATCCTGCTTATTGGCAAAAACGAGAATAATTGCATCCCTCATCTCGCGATCGTTGATGATTCGATGCAATTCCTGTCTAGCTTCATCCACCCTCTCTCGATCGGCGGCATCAATCACGTATATTAAGGCCTGCGTGCCTGTATAATAATGTCTCCAAAGTGGCCGTATTTTATCCTGGCCACCAACATCCTGTGAAAAAGAACGTGAAAAGTGATACTGGCACGATGGTCATGTAAATCTGGCACTTCTTGTTTGAAACCTTTTGCAACAACTTAAGTAGACAATTGCAACAACTTAAGACAAAAATATTTCCCTTCGGCAAAATATCCAAATTATTTGAAGTTATCAAGTAACAAGGCAAATCTTAAGATTACTTAATCTTAAGAACATTCCATCATTTAGATTTTTGGCTTTTCAGGATCATCTAATTCAGAAGCGTACACGGCTTCCAAAGAAGGTGCGCTCAAGTGCTGGGGTTTCTCCCGCTCTGAATGATGCTTTCAGCCTTAGTATTCTTTCCCAACTTCTTAATCAAAATTGTGCACCGGTGCAAATTCGCACTTCACACACCTGAAAAAAGCCTTTTGCCACTTTTAGAGTCAGTCTTTTTGCTGTGTGATTTCATTCCTTAAATGCATCTCAGTGCCAATTCAGCTAAACAGCAATTCCTCTCTCTCAGCCTAACTGGATTATGTTAATCGCTAATGAAGTCCCTCATTCTTCTGCCCAAATCCCGCTCCTACCGGGTTGATTTTTCAAACTTTTCCAAAAACAGGCAGCTCTCATTTTTCCTTTTTCCATCAAAGTGTATTACAAAACTAGCAGTCTTTTTGCATAAGTTTCTGTGTAAACGAGCTTAAGCTAGTAAACGTCCAGAAAGCGAAGAGTGAAGAAGCCACATACAGCTGACGTCCGAAACTCGAAAAGTCCAACAAGCTACATTTAGTTTTCAAGCATGAGAAAACATTCAGGAATTTGCTCTCAAACTTATCATGTACATGAAGTATGTGCCGCCCCGGTATTGCTTATCCGCACTGCTCAACGATGTTCATTAACAGCTGCTGCGCGTATCAGCCTCCTTATGCTCTCCTCTTTGTACACTGTTAATAATCACCTAAAGCCAGGTACCTTCGATACAAGGGCTGAGAAGAGCAGTCAGCCACTACTATGAGCTTGGAGCAGACTTCAATGTGTTACCATTGCAAGTTATTATGCATAACCAACCTCATCCTTTAGGGAAGTAAAACAGTGCTTTGAATATTTTCGTACTGCAGCGGTTATCGCGCTTACCGCTCTTCCTTTACACCTTTTCACTGACTGCACCTCCTCCCAGCCCCACTTAATATTATACCCATTCAAACCTTTCGCAGGACGAATCACTCAAAGCATGGCTACCAGCCTAGACAAATTCAAGTAGAAAGCAGCGACTGTCCTGCCGCACAGCGTACATGTAAAATTACCAGAATTAAATCAATAGCTGGCATTATTTTCAGTCTTTTTTTGCAAAATTACATGCTCTGTTGCGAATGAATGATTGTTAACATGCTCCTTCCTTCTCTTTCTGCCAGGTTCACTGGATAAGCCAAACGTTTGCTACCTCTTTACAGAACCTTCATTATGGGATTACTCTGAGAATTTACAGTCCACTTTTTCTTCAAAAAGAAGAACTTACCCATACATTAAACTTGATATTTTTATAAGTCACTGTTTCAACGTTGAAGCCAACAGTTG